GCACACTGTGGAATGCTGCCTGATGCCGATCCTGTATCAGACTCTCTTGATTTCATACCCGTCAGCTCATTCATAATCCAGTTACAGTGAGTAACCCTGCGGTTGTTCTTCTGCTTCTTCTTCACCACCAGAGGGCAGTGGTGTTATCATTGCAGTCATCATTATCTGCATCCTGCTGCTGGCCATCTTGGGGAGTGTGCTCTACTTCCTCTACAAAAAGGGCAAGATCTGTGGCCGATCCGGCAAGCAAGACCTGTAAGTGCAACGAGGGCCGTTTGATGTTGGAGGGGAAACGTGATTAACCCCTCTTAGACCCAGCGTCAGTTGTATTGGACATCAAATATTTATAGATTTATTTATGAATTTAAAAATATTCTTTGTCGTTGTAACTAAAAGGCTAACTAGCTTTTAGTGATAGAAATAGACATGAAATAAGAACAGTGTGCAGAAAGACAAAACAGGAAGTGGAGTAAGGGAAATTCACTAAATATGTCATATAAATACGTTCTTTGATCTGGAAAGCAGATCTGGAGATGCTAGTTTATAAAGTCAGTACAGCTAATTAAATCAGAATAACAATTTTTTTTGTTTCTTTCTTGCTTTCTGTCAACAAACAGATGGCAGATATGGAAAATAATATTCATAGGTATGTTTTAATTAGTGTATAATCACAAGAATCCTTGTTTTTGTTACCTTTGAATGAGCCATCATCCATCTTCTGTGGAGTCTACTATGTTTCTACAGGAGCCCAGAACAGACACTGGCTCCAGATATTATAGTATAAAGTGATAGATAGTTTCTCCTACACAAATGGCTGCAACCTGCCACTGAATCCTACATACTCGCCCTTTAATTTCATATTATTCTCCTTGTAGTGTAGAGCTACGGTGGTCAGTGTTATTCATAGGCTGTTTACCACCATGCATGCTACATTTTAGATTTCTCCAGATCCACATCTGAGATGTTTGACCCTGATGGCAGACACAGCAAACGTTTTTGTTCTGTGCACTGGCGTCAAATCAGCTACACATTGAAATCCAAATACAGAGATAGAACTGCTAAAAAGAGCCAGATAGTTGTGTAATTTTAAAATAACATTTCACATAATTACAGGCAGCATTGTAGTGATGAACCCAACAGATAATTATCACCAACTCTGTTGTTCCCCTCAGCTCTAAAGTAAATATTTTAGCCCATTGTTTAAAACCCACTGTAAACTACCAGCTCAGCAAAAAGTTAGGAATTAGCTGGTGAACACAGTGGAGCATTTAGCAGCTGAAGAACCAGATATTTCCCTCAGATGTTGACCAAAAACAGCTAAACAGGCTGAATATTGGACTTGGTTTGTCAGATGGACACAAACATGACTCCAAATATACCGCTAACAAGTTCACCATATCAGCTTAAAAAGGTGATAATACATGTTTGTCACTATTGTGTTTACAGCTTCTTTCCACTTCCCCTAAAATACCATAAAGTAAATTAAAACAATGAATCACCATTGTGGTTGGATAGAAAATCTATTACAGTTTGTATATATCTGACTTTGAGGAGTTTTTTTGATCCTGCAGTACCAAAGAGAAGTCCAACAAAGATAACATTGTGGTGGAGATGAAGAGCGACAACACAGAGGAAGCCGTGCTCCTCGGGGTCAACGGAGAAAAGCAACCTCCCAGTGACCAGGTAGCTATCTACTGTTCAGCTGAAAGATGATGTTGTTTTTCTGCCCATCTAATTACACCGTTAACATTACCACATCCTCCACCTCTCTCTCCCTCGCCCCTTGTCTTTTCTCGTGTTTTAATGTCTGCGTTTGCCCTCTGCAGTAAACGGCGGTGAGTAGCTGGACGTGCGAAAGTGAGGCGGTGACTGCAGACGCACCAACAAGCTGCTCCTGTTCTTCCCTCTCAGGCTCAGACCGGCCAATGCCTTCAAGCTTCCACCGCAGCTCCTTATCCCAGAGTTACGTCACGGTGAAATCTCGGCTGTCTGTCAGTCAATAACATGACGGACAGCCGAGACTCAAATTATACCAAGCTGCAGCTTTTGCTTACCGTTGGAATTTACCCCGAGCTTTGAAAGAGAAATGATTAGAGCGCTTTGTGACGTAACTCTACTAACATATCTTCCCCCTTCAAATCAAGGACTATCCTTTGCCTGTAGTTCTCATAACCACGAGCCTTGTATACTGCTGATTGTCCATAGAACATTAATTAGAGCACAACACTGACCAGGGACTGTTTTTATATCCACATAAGCATCACCTCAGGCAAAGCAATCACTGAAGAGCAGCCTGAAATAGCTCTTTATCAAGTGTACATATTATAATCTATGTATATATTTCTTTATTTAAAATAACACCATTGAAAAAAAAAATAAAATGCCAAAAATAATTGAGCAGATAGGATTTTATTTTGTTTTGGTCTTTATGGAGTTTAGTTAGATGTCTTGTGATTTTTTAAAACATTTTTTTGTCTATGTTTCCTCTTTAGCTGAAGTCTGTACACTGAATTTTTTGGGCATGCAACGATGCTTCCCTTTACAGCCAGTTACAGCCTCACCAAAAATGTTGCCTTTTTAGCTCTGAAAATAAACTTAGGGGTCATTTAATCACATATCATTCACTTTTGTAGTTCTTCTCTTCACTAAAGCTTACAGTAGTTTTTACACTCCCCAGTTTGTGTGTTTTAAAGAAGATATGTTTGCGAGACGGGTGAAAAGTCTGTTCGATATTTGACCTAAAAAGGTTAACATTATTTGTAGTTTTCTTTACTTTGATATATATGTGTGTGTGTGTGTGTGTGTTTGGGTTTAAGCATTGCCAACAGTCTAGTTAAAATGTTACACATGCCTTAGAAATTCAATCCAAGTCTATAGAAATATCAGCAACGTTTTATATGTTAGTTGTTTATATTTAATGTTCAGTGCACTGATTTCTTTGTGGTTACTCTTCATGCAGTTTTGTTTCTCTAATGTGAAACAGTTGTTTTGTTTAATGTGACTTTATGTAAAAGAAATGCAATTCTGTTGCTATTTTTTTATTTCTTTAAGAGGAAGGATGAGGGTAAAACAGATTATTGGTCCATAAATATGGTTCACGGCATGAAGTTGCCCTCTTTAAAAAAAGGAAAATGCATGTTTCTGTTTAATGAATGAAATAATTCATGTGTGACTGAAACTTGAAATAATCTGTTGGATCCCAAAGAGACACAGAATCCCCATCAGACATGACGACTAGTGACTTGGTAACTACAGTATATGACTACTGAGGAGGGGAGAATGACTGTGACTCCACATATGCAAATGACATTTATAGACAATCAATACGCTCAGTTGTGTGCAGGTATGATCCCTTCCTACCCTCTGTTAGTCTGTTGTTTTCTGCTGTTTGGAAGAACTACCACTGTTAAATGGTTTTGGGTGTTTGAAATCTATTAAATGCCTTTTAATGCCTTGGTGTTATAAAATGTAAAATGAGTGTCATTCAATGATTACATTCAAACCAATTTACCAACAAATTCATTGTTTGTAGTTTTTGAAAATTATACCAAATAAAGATTGACTGTTAAATGAAAATTAGGACTGAATGTGTCTTAAGTTACGTTTTATTCCTGCCAGTGTTATTTTAATCAGATTTCTGTTCTGTTGGTTTACAGGTCTGTGTTTTATAGAAGATTTCTTTATAACTTCCTAGTAGGTTTTCCCCAAAAACAGCCACTGTATGTAATTTGGTTCTGATTCTAGGACAAATAGAAACTCTGTTCAAATGGTAAACTTAAATTAAAGTTAGTGTGGAATTTGTCTTCAAGCAAGCATACAATTCAAAACATGGAGAATTAAGTTTCTGATATTAAACAAGTGACGTGTGAATATTTACTGAAGTTTAAATGAAGCAGTTCTTTTTAAAAAAAAAAGTATATTTTTTCTATAATTAGTACAAGTTACGTTGTTCTTTCTGGGAAATGACGCACCTGTAAATAAAGGGTTTAGTTATTCAGTTTCTGTATTCTGCAGACAACCACAGCAGCCATTCTTTCTCCTGCAGACCTAAATTTCCCATTACATCTTCAGCAGTCTGTCGGTACACAGAAGGCTTTATTAGGTTACATAAGAGTTTTATAAATGGCTCAGATATGATGCAGATTTAATCACTTACTGGGCAGTCAAATCAGATTTTCCTTTTTAATGCAGTTACCAAATGCATTAGTGAACTTTTGAACATATAAGAAATATGAAGTATTGAACCTGCCTGCAGCTCTGACCACTTGGCAAGTTCTTAACGTCCCTACTGTCAAACTCACTCTGTTCATCATCCTCAAAACCCAGAGAGTTTCATCACATCTGTACTTTAGCGCTGCTTCCAGAGTCCTTTATCATCCTGTTCAGTTCCTACATCTCTCCTGCTCGACTTCAATAAACCCTTTTCACACCAAAAAAGGAAAAGCACTGCTGCAAATGATAAGATTATAACGATGGCTCCATTCCATTTAGTGTCTCAGTAAGCTCTATCAGTGAGTAAGCATGGAGTAGCTCACCTAGAGGGAAGGCAGTCAATGTATTTTCCTGCAATGACAAGTCAAAATGTCTGCAGTGAAGAGTCTATACAACAATGTTATAATGCTACTTTTAAATTCCTGCAATCCAAACACTACTTTAACAGTCGGCGTAATGATTCCTGTCAATGTAACACTATGAATGCATTAAAGTTTTTTTAAATACAGTACATTTACAGTACTTCAGTGTTATATAGTATCTGATAACTGTGTTATTTTACATCTGTCAAGACTAATGGATCAATTCACTGTTCAGTAAGTCTAGCAGATGATTGAGTTATCACAAATGGATTGTGTATTCTGATTTTAAGATACGTACGGGAAATAGATACTGTGATAGACATCTTGCGCTCATTAATAGGTCTATAAATGTCTCAGTTGAGCTCATTGTCTGCATCTACAAGTTAAAGATCTTTGAATGCGTGTGTAGAGAAGAGAGACACGTGATGGCTTTTGCTTATCATTTTTATTAACAGCACTGTGCATACTTCCAAAGTGATATGAGCTTTAAAAACCATCAAAAAGTTAATGAATGCCTTTTACTGACGAGAAGCGACACGGCTACATGGAACAACAGCTCCCTCTTCTGGCAGAAAGTTGAAGTACCCCAACACGGGGACTGAGGGTAACAGGGGGGCCTGGTCTGCATCCAGCATCTCTGAGGCTGAGCACTGATCTAGGACCTGGTTTATCTCGAGACCTTTAACAGATCAGCACTTGTGCTCATAGAGGAGGCCTGATGCGGCCGACAAGGAAGAGAAGACAGATTAATACAAGCAAATACTGCACAATCTTGCCTTCAGAGATCAACAGGTACAGCTCAATACCTACAAACGCTCTTCAAAAACAAGGCCTTATTCTAAACATGGTGAGGATCTTTTAACATATGGCACTGCTCACAGAATTATTCACACAAGTAAACAAAACCTTTGGAACAAAATACAAGTACAGGAATGCAAAATGAAAATAAAACAGCCATTTTTTTTCTTTTCGTATCACTAACTTTATACAATTAGCTTTTCTTTAGAGTGACAGTATCAAAGCACAAATTGGTATACTGTGCAAAAACTAAAATAATAAAAAAAAAGGTAAATAATAAAATGACATGCTGTCCTCAAAACATCAACAAAACATTGGTACAGTATTGAGGATTGGGGACCTCCCCGTCCATTACACATCATTCAAGAAGTTTCTCAAGGCAACTAGGAACAGAAAAAAAAAAAAAGAACTAGAGGATGGCCAGACAGCGTGGAGATAGCTTCCAGTCAACAGACAGAATTACCCAGAATAAGCCAGGGCTATTGACATGATTAACCCTCCCAAAAAAAAAAAAAAAAAAACATTCTTCTTCATATGCTGGGAGAAGTTCATGTCAATGTACCTCAAAACTTTTATTTATCTTATTCATTCATAGTACCTGGAAATGAAGCTGCTGTCTCTAGTCCTGCCAACATCGGAAATAATACAAAAAATGTGCAAGTTAAAATATGAAGAAAAGAAAAAAAGGTAATAGGCTACTTGTGTGACTTCATTAAGCGGATAGTTTTGGCTACATGTCACCTGGATAAACAGACAGCAGGTGAGCTGTCTGTGCCAATGAGTCTCCTCTGGGTTTTGACAGCCAGGGTGAACGCCACTCGTTTAGTTAAACATTATTCCTGAGTTAGTTCTTACAGTTGGCCCAAATACTGATTCTAATGTAGACTTGGGGGTGGGCCAGCAAACCCATGAGCCTACTTAAAAAAAAAAGGATCAGCAATCACTCCCTTTTAGCGGGTTGAACTGCCGCAAGAAGGGAATTGATGTGAAAGAGAAGCCTGACTCCAATACAAAATGGCTGGTTTCCATACCGAAAGCATTTTGTTTGCTTTATTACTGTTGCTGTAGACAGACAGAGTCTACCTGTAGAGAATCAGAGAATATATTTAAAAAAAAAAAAGGTTTAAAACACTGAAGAGTCGGCAGCTTGAGAGAGCTGCAGGCTCACAAGCCGCTTGTACTTTCAAGTATGCTACATCACGGACTGGAGAAACAGGTGATACTGTCACTTTAAAGAAACAGGATGACGGTTAAACACAATATTCACAAATGTACATTTAAGGCGTAATTGTTTAGCACTAACAATAGTAGCAGCAGTGAAGCACTTCTGAATTAATTATAATAACAATATTTATGATCATATTACAATAATATATTACCAAAGTAAATCAATGACATTTTTTTGTTTCATAACACTGGACTGAGCTGGAGACAGAAATCCGAACCAGCCAGCCAATGAAGTTAGACGAAGACAGAACGAAAACGTTTCAGCCACCACGGATCGCACAACACTTGCCTGTCTGGTACTGCAGGGTCGTCAACATTAGCACGTCCTCTAATAATCTCACTGCCAGGCTCTACAGCTACACTAGGCCCTGCCATATGAGTTAGAGCAGTAGTACGTTTCCAGAGCACGAGTCTGAGTATACTGTCTGTAATTCCACATTCATGTTGTACAGGAATAGGGGTTCGTTTAAGAGCAGGTCATGAGGAGTAGAGTCTGGCAGACACACGCACACACGCACGCTCACATACATACATAAACACACAAAAACATACACACACAAAAGACACAGAAACACTGCCAGACAAACAGATCAGACCTGAAACCATCGTCATGCTACTTTGAAAAATACAACACGACAAAACAAGCATGTTTTTCTGAAAAAAAGTACCAAAGCAACATTGTTAATCAAAGGCCATAAAAGACTGAATTCATCATGAAAAAGCTCTGCTGCACGTCTTCTAAGCTGCTGCCGACCAACACATCCTAATGGAGGAAGATACCCCGACTCCTCCTCTTCCTAGCATGTGTTTCTCCACACTCTCACACCCCTCAGTCCACCAGAAAGGGGCCAAACCCCCCCCTTTAATCTGGTCCCCGTCTACCCATATCGCTTGTACCAACAGCAATCCTCAAAGCTGAAGTCATTTTTACACACTGTATATGCACGTACTGTATATATTACACACATTTAATATATATTTACTCATATATTAAATTTTCATATAGACATACATTTTTAGTTTTATTTGTGAGGTGTTGGTTACATTTTCAGCAAGAGGCTTCGACATGAAAGAGAAGAATCGGTCTTCCCAGGATTCCTACAAAAAGTCTTGCCGTCACGTAGCGTCCCGTCACTGTTCCGCATGCGCCGAGTCAGTCCTGCGGAGATGTCCTTTATAACGAAGAGGCCTGCTGTAGCAGTTTAAAGAAGGCCAGACACTGCTGAAAGCCCATGGAGTGCAGGGCGCGGAGTCCCAGAGATGTCGTGAGCTCGCTGGAGTAACAGCCAGTTAAAAATCCACAGGGGCGTAGGGCGTCGACCAGCACCGGAGGTAGTGCTGCAGGCAATGAGCTTTTGGGCTTTGGGCTGGCCCGGGCCAACCTAAACCCAACCAGGCTGGGCCAAGCTAGGGCGAGAGAGCAAACACGAGAGAGACACAAGGAGTGTGCTATGTAAGAACATGCGCGGTGGAGGGAATAGAGACAAACTCACGTAGGATATTCTTGGCCATTTCGATATTGTTCTGTGCAATCATCAGTGCTTTCTGGATGTCCTGGTAAGAGTATCCCTGACTCATGAGGTGCTCGATCTCGCTACTGATTTGAGGGTTGGCTTCTCCTCCTGTTGCCCCACTACAAGGTGGAGCAGGGACGGGCGGGACGGGGCTGGGTCGACGCTCTGAGTTGATTCGTCTGGGCAGGGGCTTTGGAGGTCTCTCTGGTGCTTCTACCGGCTCTGAGAAGGCTGAACAAACGGAGTGTGAGTGTGTATACGCCTTTAAAGCCAAAAGGTCTGGATCACACGTTTTTTGTCACATCTTAAACAACTTAAATTACTTTTAAATACACTAAAAGGTCACTATAGGTTACGAAACTGGAAATAATTCAGAAAAAAAAAAGAGATCCTGATCATTATAATTAGCCACTTGTAGCAGATTTGTCTGAGGTAAGCTATATGTTTTTAATCATACTGTATATAGGGTGAACTGGTTGTCCTTTTCCACTGCAGCAACCTTTAATAAAGCTTTTATGAAGAGTCTAATTAGGATCTGGGAGCCTGTCAGCTCGTCTGAGAGCCCCTTAATTGGTCTTCAGATACAAAGTTTAGGTCTTTAGGACCACTCAGACACCGAACAGTCATCATAGGTAGTAAATGTCAGCTTAGTGCAGAGACAAGGAGATTACTCTGAGAAGTAAGAGGCCGTCTCATGAAGTAACAACTAAAAATTACCAAAAGGCCTTCATATTAGCACCATCGGCCAGGAAATATCGTGTCATCACTGCTGCATCAAGCTCGTCAGTGTCTCCACCAAAATCCTCTAAAAGGAGGCTCCGCTCCAGCTCTTCATGGTCCGTTTCTCCGGCACCTTCCTACCTCCTACAGAAGGTGCCAGGTCTGCTAAGGCCACTAATGCTGTATTAATTGCAGTCAAACCTCCACACAACCTTGCAGACTCTGACATTTAAGTGGTCAATATACAGACAGGCATCACTTATTGTTTTTCTAGTTTTAAAAGGTTGCTGATGTAACTTAACGGCTCTGTGTAATTATTGGTCTTTACCCTTCTTTGCACAGTGTGATTGCACATATTGGAGCAAACGATGCACGGCAATCAATTCATGTTAATCTACCCAAATTCTAGTCTTACATCAACTTCCAAGAGCTTTGGAAAATCTGTATTATGTCTGGCTTCATACCAAGTACTGTAGTAGCAGAAAGCTTTAAGTCGACTTTGCAAGCTGCTCTCTGGGTCACAAAACTTTTGTGCTACTCCAAGATATTGATCTGCACTTTTAATTGCTTTCTGGCCAGGAAGGACCCGAACAAAGAGGCTGCTGTTATACATTTTTACATCCAAGTGATTTTAAGGAACGGACACACTGTTTTCCTTGCTTGCCAAACAGTTACCGTATATGTCACCAGTGATGTAACTAAGTTCAACGTTTAAATGTCGGGTCTCTTAATAAAAACCCAGGATTCAAAGGGTCATTCACATGAAGTAAGTCATTCACTATAGTAAAAAACAGCTCATTCATAATATGGCTTGTTGTTAATTACATTTTGGGGGTATTTTTACAGTCCGTTTACAATCACAATGCTTTACCCATAAAAGCAAGAAAATGTTCAAACTGTATTTATCACAGTCACTGAGCAATTACATTAGAAACAAGCTCTGCTCAACAGGGGCAAGAATACTTACATGCTGCAGCTCCAGCATCTGAATCTATAGAAAGGCGGCTGAGCGCAGCTGTGGAGGATGAGCATGATGAGGAAGATGAAGATGAGGAAGACGACCCTCCCAGTTCTGAAAGGGTCCGTCGGGCGGGGGGCATTGGCAGCCGGGGTTTCGGGAAGTCGTAGCCATTTTCTTCCTCTTCCCTGTCCTCGGCCGCATGATCTCTGGGACCATTGGTCATCGCCAGAGGGGGCAACTCTGAATAGTCTGGAAAGGATGGAAAACAACGTATTAGCACTACAGTAGCTGATAGACACAGAACTACATACAGAAGTGAATACAGATTCAGCACATTCCTGGTTTTATTCAGATAATTATATCCACTAAAACAGTTCAGATGAGTCACAACTAGATGTGTACGGTGTAGGTGTATTTTTTTTCCAGACTGTGGGGATCTTGTTTTAGAGTAAAACTAATTAATATAATAATAATAATAATAAATTAAAATTCAGATTGACTCATTAGACTGAAGGTTCTTTCACAGGCGGTTAATTTTAAAGCAGAGATAACAAAAATAAATGGTTGCAGGCTGGTAGACAGAAAGGTAGCATAGAGATTTAACATTGTAGCAGAAATACCTGAATCTCTGGCTTGTTGTGACCTGGACTGGATGTTGTACATGGCTTCATACATTTGGGGTCCATCCTCAAGTTCAGCCAGTGCGAGTCTACAACAACAAACAACAATAATAATGATAATAATAATAATAATGAAATGGTCACAGACACAGTACTGCAATTACCAAAGTCATTTCATCCAGGCGTGGTGCTGGATGTGTTTTGAATACCTTGAGCTGAGTGTGGAGGCTTGGGTCTGTGTTTGGAGTGCTGACAGAGGCTGTGGATGCCTGGGGACCGGTGGGGTCTCCCCTACAGGTGGGGCCGTGATGGGAGGCAGGATGGGGCGAGAGGAGGGGATCATGTATTCTGACTCCTCCTCACTATCACGTGACTCCTCTCCTGCCACAGGCCTAGGGGCTGGAGAAGGTCTGGAAACAAACAACCCAATAATATTTACACCAAAACTGTAAATATGGATTTATGAAACGTAAACACTTCAAGACTAAATGTTTTGAGAAGAAACAAGCTTGTTTTGTATAACCTTTGTGATCTGCAAGTGAGCAAAAATCACGTCAGTCACCAACACATAAGATGTTCAACTATTCTAATGTAAGTACGTAAGTAAGTAAGTAAGTAAGTAAAGCTTTATTTATATAACACCTTTTTGACACAGAGAGCCAAAGTGCTCTACAAACAACAAATATACATATAGGTAAAACCATACCCAATCAAACAAACATGTCATAATGCGAGTACAATGTACCTAATTGCCATTGAATAGATGGCGTTGGCTGAGGATGAGGGCTTGACTTTGGGGTTGTCGTAATCTTGACTGGCTACTGCTGCAAAAGTCTGTAAAGGAAGCAGAAGCTGAAATCTCAGAAACTTTGAAGTTAAGAATATTTTCACAATCAAAACCTAGAAACCAAATACTTATAAAGGAATAGTTTGAGATTCAGAGAAAAATGCTTAGTTGGTTTCTTGCTGCAAGATGGAAGATTGATTCTACTCTCATATGTGTACTGTTAATATGAAGCTGATGCCAGCAAAAAGAATTCCACCCATCAGCAACCCTAGAGCTCAATGATTAACACAGTTTATCAAATGTGTTTTTAATCCATGCAAAAATGTAAATATTACCCGTTGTGGTTTAATAGGGAGTAATGTACTGAAGTATTGTTTAGCTGTGTGCAGTAACACTTCATTTTAACACTTTTGATTAATATCTGTTAAGACAAAATGTGTTAATTAGTGAGGCTTAGTGGTGCTGGTAGGTTCATTATGTTAACTTAGGACAGGCAGCATTTTCTCCCCTTTTCAAGTCTTTATGCCAAGCTAAGCTAACGGCTGCAGCTTTATATTTTTAATGTTCTAACTCTCTGCAAGAGAACAAAAAAGAAAACCCTTTGAAAGAGTTTGATCACTGCAGTTGCCTCCCTGCCACAGACAAAGATCCTCAGTGAAGCACAAGCTCATATTTCTCACTGAATTGTCAGTGCAACTTATCAAAAAGATGCAGTTCAGTGCAACTACAATAGCTTAGTGTTATTGGATGATGACATAAAAATTTGTTTGGTATGACTTCAGTGATGTATTCTTAACATTTGAAGTTAAGCATTTAAGTGTTTTTCAGTTACAAGGTTGCGCTGTATTGTACCCTCTTTATACAGGAGTTATTTTATTGATCAAAAATGTTTTGTGCTGGACAGACGGTACTTGGCTGAAAAAATATTTCAAAGGGAGTGCCTTATTTAAAAAAAAAGAAAAAGAGTTTTAAACAAAAATGGAACTCTACATGGATTTTACAAATGTTAATATAGGTAATAACGAACACCTTTAATTTAATGTCCCTGCTTTAAGTGATCAAACAGTGGTTGTGTTTTCAGTGACTGAACTAAAAAGCTACATATTAAGTCCAGTATACTAGAAGGTGGTGCCATATTTGTCGTCCTAGTTCTCTTACTTGGACAGTCACTACTAAAATGCTGTGTGCTTGTAATTGTGGCCAATAAATACACATCAAACCAAACAGTAGCAGTAGTTTTGTGTGTGGTGTTTTGTGTTTTCTCTGACCAGCTGGTGGTCCAGACTGAGGGAGCTGTTGTTCTTCTGTGAGTCCGAGCGTGTGTCCATGGAGGGCAACGCCAAGGGGAGGGAGTGCCGGTTGGAGAGTTCTCTGACACCTGCTCGAATGTCCAGTCCCAGACTGGAGACTTGGGTGGATGAGGAAGATGAGGAGGAGGAGGATAAGGACGAGGAGGTGGGGGCTTTGGGAACTGGTCGAGAGTTCCAGTCAGCAAGGGGCCGGTTTGGCGGTGCAGGAGGGAGCTTATCTCGAAGGGGCTCCCCGGGAGTGCAGGGTAAAGGCCTTCTCTGCAACCGTCCATCCGGGGCTGGCCCGGCTGCGTGGGGGCGGTCTGGAGGAGGAGGAGGGGGGAGATCCCTCAGTGCAGGGGGGAGGGGGAGAGGCTTGTCTTTGTGGTGAGATGCTGCCTGGAGGGGAGAAACAGTGACGGAGGGAGCTCATTTAGACTACATACAAAATTGATGCGAAATCAAAGAAAACTCAGTGCGGTTATCTTCTGCAGGGGAAATAATCCATTTAAAAACTAGACCACCACGGGCACCCTATTAGCTCAGTCGGTAGAGCTGGCGACCCATATACGCAGCGGCCTGGGTTCGAGTCCGACCTGCGGCCCTTTGCTACATGTCATCCCCTCTGTCTCTGCCCCCTTTTCCTGTCTATCTCCAGCTGTCTATCAATCAAATAAACGCTTAAAGGCCCCAAAAAAAAAAAAACACTTTAAAAACCATGTATGCATTCATCATCAACAATATACAACTTAGATGAACAACACCAAGGGAAAAAAAGCTCAATTCCAGCTTCCTTTCTAGCATCCATCTATCTACATTTAAGCAGAAATATGTGGTAATATCAATATGTGAGTGAGTGGAAATGCTTTTTAAAATAAGTTATATACAGAATATAAAATACATTGATTATTGTGGCTGTCATCTCAACACCTTACTTGCATGAAGAGGGTAATAGGAGTGAGCATAATTTCAATGAAAGCTTGGTTACAAATTATATTATTTTCAAATTTTAGTCTGGTTTTATGCTCTGCTTCGACTCTATGGATGTTTCATAAAAGTCAAGCTACAAACCAGAAGCAAAGCAGACTGAGCAGTTTGGATAAAAGGTACTAAAAAACTGAAGGCAAATTTTGGGTCAACACTGAAATAAAAGCACTATTTGACTGACTGTGACATACAAAAAATGCCTTGACCAAACTTACGGTGTTAACTTGGTTGTGTTTGTTCAGTTACCTTAGTGGTGACCCCAGGGCTGGAGGCTCCAGGGGGGTTGGGAGGTCTGTGTGGTAGAAGGTCTAGTCTTGGAGGTACAGGGGGAAGAGAGGACTGAGGAGCCATGGACATTGGTGACGGGGGGCGCTCCACCTGGAACACGAACACGCACACACGAACACACACACACGAACACACACACACACACGAACACACACACACGAACACACACACACACACACACACACACACACACACACACACACACACACGTCACATTTGAGAACTCCATCAAGAACTGCCTTGTTCTTCAATGTAGGCACAGTAGTGCTGTGAATGGATTGAGGGGAACACACTGCACTGAAGTTCTCATCTTATTTCTCCTAAAATTGCCATGTTGAATGATATCATCTCCAGCTTGATGACATGGCTGTTGTCGTTAAACAATTCTTTTGTTAAATAAATAAGCAAGCAGGTTTCAGTCTTTTTATAATACGGTTATGATTTCAACAGGTCATAAGAAGAACTTGCTCGGTTGAGAGAATAGGCTAAATTTAAGGTTTCCTGTCCTTGAAATATTTTTAGGGCCCAGAGTTTTCCAGAGTTTGACAACTTACGGTACAACTGCCACAGAGTTTGTAAACTTCTAAGACTAATTACATATGCAAAGATATATACAACATATTGTTTTACACTGACATTTCATGCACAAACCATACCATTACATTTTGAACTGCACTGAACTGTGCAATGGTAGAGCTGTATTTTGTGCAATTACTCAAAGAAAAGTAAGAAAAAGACCCGTTTTGTTTCAACAACAAACAGATGAAACAAATACAAATCAACACAAAATATTTATGAAGTACAGCCAAGTACTTCACAGAGTACAAGTACATTTAAAGAAAGGGTCAAAGATGAGAAAGAGGCAGAGTCAGCAATCAAAGCCAAAGAAATTCCATGGACCACATCAAAGTGTGTGTGATCTCAGGTACTCACCTACTCTATAAGCAGACTAATGCACACAGAGTTTCTCAGAGGCACATAAAAGATGGAGGGTAGGAGAATGCCCCACATATCAAATACCGAGAGGCACAAAAAAAGCTGCTACCTTGGCACCATGAAAGATGGAGATGAAAGACTTTAGATATGAGCCGTGAGCTTGAAGCTCACAAAAAGTAAAAAAGGGCAAGACAGGGAGTGTTTCATCTGTAGAGAGATGGGTCTCTCAGAAAAATAGAGAAGTGAAGAGGACAGTGGAAACCCATGTGGTGCACCCAGGGCATCACACCACACACTCAATGTTTTATCAATGGAAAATGCCAGAACAGCTTGACCAGTGTGATGAGTGGAAACCTTGAGCAAACTGAGTTAACTTCGGTCTACATTAAGTCAAAGTCTTCCCAACTTCTCACCTTTGAACAGGCAAGTTTGCTCATCATGAGGTGGGGGTCTTCAAGTCTGTCGTCGTCATCATCATCATAGCTTGGTGACGGAGCACCCTCGGCGCCGAACGTGCCCCTGCAGGAGCCCCCGCTGTTGTCCTTGGGGTCAAAAGGATCCACGACTATAGGCTCTGTACCCTTAATCTCACAGCGACAGAAGGGACATCCCGTTCCCTGACCCTCTGACTCCTGCAACACAAGCAGAGAGCCAGATGTAAGAGCACACAGAGATGAAAGGAGGTTACATGTTTTTATATGTCTGTTACATCTGCGGAGAAGAGCACTTCAACAGCGAGTTTTCCTCTCAACAGGTATGAGTTATGACATTTAACTTGGAGCAGCCAACCCACACAAAAACCCTTCCATCCACCCACTCTCATACCTGCCAGGCAGTGAGACAGGAGGTGCACATGAGATGACCGCAGGGCTCAATCTTCACATCCTTGTCATTCTCGGCACAGATCTTACACAGCTGGAAAGTGGAGCCCATCTCACAGTACAGCTCATATTGCTCCTGAGGGGGGAAAATTAGACAAGTATGAGCTTTCTGTGCCTAAACATGGAGTAACATCATACGGTATGAACACCACTTGAGATCATTTTGAAAAGAGCCTTGAAGGATTTGGAGCAAAAATAAAATGTGGGGGCATATTTTCAGTTTCAGTCCTGTGCTCAAATAAAATGAGTCTGTTCATAAACACCTTTAAAAAAAAAACTGAGAAAATATCTATGCTTAACAAGAGACAGACTGGTTAGCATACACCATGTTGTGTCCTTCAGTCTGATGACAGTATGCAGGACAGATTGGTCTATCCTGTAATGTGTAACAATTGAGGAAACCTTCACTGGCAAAGGACCATGTGGCTTTAACTATAATTAAATTCTGAAATGCACCATTCATTTTTAACTTCATTTACACTTAGCTCAAATCCCCATTCAACAGTGTCTGACATTTTACTGTTTAAGTGAGGTTAACAGTAACAATCTTTAAAGAAGACTCAACATTAAAGCCAAAATATCGTTATAGAGTAACTAAACCCCCAAACCACGCTTGCAGCTGAACTCCTATGTGTATGGGTATGTAGTTGTGGTCCAAATGCCTGCAAAGTGTTTGAATTCTACATAGTGTGCTATGAAAATGCATAGCAATATCCCTCTACTGCTTGAAAGCTGACTATTGTAATTTAATTCTGCTAGTGGCTGATCTGGAGGCAGTTTTAGTCACCAATCTGACTACTGGCAGCTATAGTCCTGCTACACAGAGTGGTGGCCAGTCTGGATTTTACCTCCATCTTAGTTATCAAATAAATGTCAGACAAAATGCTTGTATCAAATGTCAGAAAAAATGCTATTTGTTTAAATCTTTCAATTTATGTGTTACTTGACCTCGACTAACTTGTCTTCATTCATGTCTTCTACTTCTGCTTCCTTTTCATACACTTGACTATCGCATAATTTTTTTCTCTGTCTACCAAATAATTCTTTTGACCTTTATAATAAAATACCAAAGAAGGACAAGAATGTATAAGATATCAAAGACTGAGGAAGCAGTCTGAGCGGCACACTGCTCTGACCTGTGTGACTTTGATGTGGTCTTGAGGTGAAGGCTCACACAGTCCTGTCAGGTCTGGGTTTTGGGTCCGGCCGTCAGGGAATAAATAGCTGGAGATGCAGAGGCACAGAAAATTAGAAGGTATGCACAGAACTCCCCTTTAAGTATCCCTGGGTATTTTAACAGGCATTTTCATTTCAAAGTTGTCATCATCATCATTAGTTAGTATGATTATACTGCATGTATACCTAACAGCCTGCAGTAATGAAAACATCTGTTCATTTAATCTGGCAATGTGTTTTAATATCATCACCGAGTTGATGCATGTACGGTGCAAGACTATTTTACAAATGGGTCAGATGCACTAATTACCATTTGATAAATGTTTTGTATGCAGGCGATATACTGTATACGCTTTCCCACTTTGAATCAGGATTTGATTACAGGTCGGGACAGGCCAACTGTAGCTTTCATTAAACAAAGGAATCAACGCTGGCATAAAAAGATGAGTTTCGCGCCAGCCAGTTAAACCACTGAGTGAGCTGCACATTAGAAACCAACAGTTCTATTCTGGTTATGATAACACTGGAATGATGGGAACAGGCAATATGATATGGCTGGATTGGTTAGAGCTGAAAGGCAGATTCAGTCGTGGGATGCGAACCCAGGCTGCATAGTTTACACAGAGATGCATGCTTTGTGGGACAAAGCAGAGGAAAGACGAGGCAGACAAAAACAAACCTTGGATGTGACAAGAAGCTTGAATTATAGATAATTTATTAAAACTGCATCAAATGAAGACCCAGCCACAAAGACACAGAGCAGAGGTCCAGATGAAAACCCCAAAGAAAATGACAGATATGAGTGTGCCAAACAAAATGCCAGAGGACTTACAATCCTTCCCTGAAGCCATCGATGAGGGCCTGAAAGAGGGGTTTATTGTGGGGAATGGTCTGGAGTATGTTTCCATCTGCTGTCACATAGCCGATGGCCCACTGGCCCAGCCGCGTACAGCTCAGTCGGAAGATGTAACTGAGGAGAGAGACATGAGAAATTAGAAATGCTGGAGCTGTGTCACTCTTTGGTAGGGTGCAAACAGTCTTTGCAAATTGCTCAAACAGAAAAACTTGATCATGCATTTTAGATCAGTCAACAAAAATTATCTGAACACACTTTCACATAGTTAAAAAGTTAAAAAAATCCCATTCAAACATAAAACAAATGAAATAAAATGTATTCTACATAAATGCAATACACATAAAAATAACTAGATAACACATAGGTTATACAGTAAATTATAATATATGCATTATATGCACAATAGACATATAAAAAGGTGATAGATAAAAACAGTTCCTTCATCACCAGCTGGAGGTGAAGAGGGAACTTGTTGCCCCCACAATGCCAGCTGGTGCTACTGCTCATAGTCAGGTAGATTGATTTGTCTTACGGGCTCGAGCAGCTGTGCTTTAACCTGTTCCAGAGTGGGAAAAGTAATGTGGCTCTCCTCCCAGTACACAACATTTCCTGTCTGCTTGTTTCTATGTAGAAGTTGAGATATTTGTATCAGGAAATTACCAAATTAAAAATCAGGGGTATTGAATACCCGTGCAAAGAAGTCTGTCTCTGTTAGTACTTTAGCCGCAGCATTCAGGGAAAGTTAGAGACCACTGGTATGTGACTGAGGTAGGCCAGAAAAAGGGCATTACATTAATCAATCCTAGGACACATGTATTAGAATTTCCTCACAGGTCCCTAACGTTAAGGTTTGAGATACTGCACAAGTGGAAAAAAGCAGTCCCTGGCATCAATGTTAAGCTTAGAAGTGGAGCAACTGCTGTACCCATAATACAAACAGAACGCTCTTGACAGTAAGCTGTAATTTATAGTTTCACATTGACCAGTAACTACTCGGATGTCAATGTGGCCCTACAGAGGCCAGGCCTAAACAGTGACATCAGCTTTCAGTGTACAATCAGGCCATTGATGCTAGGTACCAGTGCCATGCTGCCCTGGATCTCTCTCTCCCTCTCCCTCTCCCTCTCCCCCTCTCCCTCCCCCCCCTCTCCCTCCCTCCCTCCCTCCCTCCCTCTCTCTCCCTCCCTCCCTCCCTCCCTCCCTCCCTCCCTCCCTCCCTCCCTCTCTCTCCCTCCCTCCCTCCCTCTCTCTCCCTCCCTCTCCCTCCCTCCCTCTCTCTCTCTCCCTCTCCCTCCCTCTCTCTCTCCCTCCCTCTCCCTCCCTCTCCCTCCCACACACACAGTACAGAGCTGGCATCAAGACAGAACTTGTGCCCTGTCTGTCGTCATATTGATACGAAGCCAAACATTGATTATGTGCATTTATATACGTGCTTTTCGTTGCAGAGTAATGACTATGTACGTTATACACTTAGACCCAAACATACGCATATCGCAGCTCCAGAGCAAGGACAAAAATAGCTCCTGAGACCTACAGTTAACCCGCAACCATGCTGTTGCCCATGGAAACACATGAACATGGTTATATGATGTGTTCCAATAATGGAAATAAAAAAAATCCATATGCCAATAGAAACTGATCATGGATATTATAACAATTTATTGCATTTATTTAGTGCAGAAATGTTACAGAGTATCTCTGAACTCACACCAATAAGCACCAAATAGGCCATAGATTTATTTAGATTGTATAACAAGATGTGTGTCTGTGTGCACATATGTGTTTCTATCTCACCTGCCAGGCTTATGAATGAACTTCTGCAGCCGCGCTTTGACCTCATCATAGGTGAGGAAGGCCATGTACCCCGGGTGAGTAACTGCCAAGCTGTTCCAGTTCCGCAGCAGGGACGACCAAGGCTACGCACACACAAAAATACACACACACACACACGAGTGAGTTAGAGAGTTAGAGAGAGAGAGTTAGAGAAAGAGAGAGAGAGAGAGAGAGAGAGAGAGAGAGAGAGAGAGAGAGAGAGAGAGAGAGAGAGAGAGAGAGAGAGAGAGAGAGAGAGAGAGAGAGGGTGACTCATCTGATGTGTGAATGAATGGACACAGTAAAAACAGTATAAGCAGAGTAATGGAGAAAGATACTGCATCATTGATGACGTTAAAACAACTGTGTACTACACTTCAGTGTGATTCACAATGGCCATTTCAACCTGGGTCAAGCAACGTAAAAAGGTCCTTTAAGCTGATTATGCAACACTTAAAACAGCACGCAACGCATTGGGTACCATCTGGAGCCACAGAATGAGGAAGGTTAAATGGACAAGAGCAGACAGCTGCTTATGTCTCTTTCTTTAAAGACTACATGACCCAAATCAAGTCAAGCTACCTTAATAAGAGGAGATGACTTCAGCAAATAAAAAATAATTCAAACTACTCCATAGCTGACTGAGTGCACAAGTGAGCAGGTGGTTCCGCAATTGCAGTCTGGTGTGTGAAAGGAAGTAGAAGTAACACATACAACACTGACAATGAGCTGAAAAAGTCACGGCCATAGTTCAATCTGCACAACACTCACCTTTTTTTTTTTTTTTTTTAATTAATTAGGCTAAATCAAAAAGAGGGACTGAGCCACCTATCTGTAGCTTCACAGTAATTGCCCAAATCTGATGTAAGTAAATAATGTTATGTTATTTATACTTTTTGCAAACAGGAAGTGACAAGTCGAAATGGTTTCCTCTGCTGGACTCATGTTAGATGTATTGCATCTCATCATTCTTGTTCCCTTTAGTGTATGTGATCACAGACTGCCTGGGTTAGTAAACGAAAGAATGCAGAGTGTGGTCTATTGGCTGCATGTTAGATTGTTACTGGGTAATGTAGCATCTAATAACTGTAATTGTATATTTCTTTTTCAGTGACCTCTTCTTTCATGGTTTACACTTCACTGAACAGAGCAAGTAAACTTTTCACGATATACTGGTTAATAATCACCACTGCACCACGCAGCCAAAACATACTGCATGAAACATTTGAAGGCCTTTTGATAGTAATATTAAAAAAAAAATAAAATAAAAGCATCAACCCTTGTCTACTGCATATCAAGGACAGAGCTCAAAATGGCCACAGGCTCACTTCCTCTTCTGAGTTTGAGGACATTTAGAGGAGGGATTTTTCTGTATGAGGGAGTGTCATAGGAAATGTCTGTAATCTGTTTAGGCTTCATTAAGCCGGTCTGTGCCCTGCATACAAGTAGCCGTGGATAATGTCACTGAAGGACTAAACAACATACACTACTGCATACAATGCAAGAGATTTTAGGTAATGCAAATTATAACACTGAGTTAGGTTTAAATATAAGAGGGTAGAATGCATCAGTGGTTTTCATTTGGTACTTTGTTAATTACAATGCTGATAAAGCACTATATGCTATAGATAACTCTGAAAATGATGCCTGAAACCCACCATGCCCTTCCTCTATCCTTTCTATTTTTCTTACTTTATCCTGCTGCTTCATTCACTCCTGATGAGGAAAAGGAGTCTATGAAGTGCTGTGCAGCACCTGCATCACCATAAATATACGCTAAAATACTCCAAAAACAAATGGGTTGTTTCCTGCTGCCTTGTGTATATAATTGCAAAATATAAATGGTTGGCTGCATTTAGCTTTTTACTTCACCACAACTCCCTGCGCATGAGCAGTATGTAACTACTGTGGTCTATCAATTACAAAGTTGAGTCAGGGTTTGGCAAAGTAAAACAACTCATAAACTGACAACGTTCAACAGAACCCAAAGTGCATGCTTAGTTAGACTCTTGTCTTGGGAATCCTTCCACAAATATTCATCCTTGCTGTTTATTATTCATCTAGCAGTAAGGAAGCACAGCTTTAAGGGAGCACATATAATGATGACTGTCCTTGAGAAGGATGTCAGTGTGACTCGCTATCTAGGGGAAAAAAAAACACAGATCTATCTGGGCCTTATGAAGCAACAACAGATACCCCATAAAGAAGACGAAATCATTGCCAAACACAGCAGAGGAAAGTTTCCACTTTAGTCCCGTCTGACTGTGAAAGAGTCAGCAGGCATCCTGCTAACAAGTTGATAGAGTTAGCCGAAAAAAGATGTGTTAGATTAGTTTAAGTTCATTATGTGCTGCTCAAATGAAATTTGTTTCCTACACCAAGGCTAACAGACTGCTATGAATTACTCTCTGTCTCCGTCTTCTCCATCACTCTCTTCCTTTGTACATTTCGCCTCTCATTAACTTACAGAGCACAAGGAGAAATGTGAGTGTGTGAGTGTGTGAGTGTGTGTGTGTGTGTGTGTGTGTGTGTGTGTGTGTGTGTGTGTGTGTGTGTGTGTGTGTGTTCTCTACCTGGAATAGCCTGGTGAAGATGTCAAACTCAAAGACAGAGATGTAGTCGTTACAGGTGAGATCTATGGTGGACTTAAGGGCCATTGCCTCCAGTCCGGAGCTGATGGGATGAAACTCATGGAGAGACTGACGGAACACCTTCCAAGGCACAATGGTCCTGTAACACACAAAGCAAACAAAACAGATGTCGACATCCTCTTGCAAGAGCTGAAATCACATCAAAACATAATAAATAAAGAGTGTTGGATGTAGTCTACGTGCATGCTTTCTTGTGACATCATAGATATAGAAACGTAGATACAGCATTCTCAACTTGACGTGCGTCTGCACAGTCGCTAGTTAACAATTCTGTAACACTGTAATACGGTAACCAGTAATCAGTACCAGGTTCAATCTCTTACATTTATAACAAACCCAATTTCATAAAAAATGAGAATTAAGTGTGTTACAGTTGATTTTGTAGTAAGGTCTGAATCTCTCAGTATTGTTAACTAGCGGATCTTGACCTCCCCAGTATGGTGACCGTGGAGACGTATAGCAGCGAACATCAGCGGTTTCTATATCTATGTGTACCCACAAATATGTGTAGTAAAGGTGCAGTAACAGTTTCTGATTCTAATTTTGGGTTACTTGGTTTGTTGCATGCTTTTTCAGAACATCATGAACAGATAATTCACTAGTACAATGAAAAATGAAATGCTATATTGTCCTAGTACTATTTTAGTAATCCAAACTGAGTTTTGAGGTTGTTGGTCATGAGTGCAAACATGATGTGATCTTTTCATGAGACAGCTATGAGATATGCAAACAGATGAATTTAAATACATTTAGACCAGCTTTTGGCATTTGGGAAAGTACCGTATTTTGCAACGGTTCCTGCTGAAGATGTCAGATATACAAGCTACACAATTATATTATAAATACGGGAAATTAAGGTATTGTTATGTAGTATTGGGGTAAGCCAGCTGTCAATGCTTTCTTTTCATTCTATGTGTCGGGATTATTTTTAATTACTACACTTGCTTACAATCTGATTTAGCTGTGTGTACTCTTACAGAACAAGGGTTCCTCTTTTAACATGTAATGGACCCCCAATAAAGAAAAGACATTTTAGTCAACAGAAGAAATTTATTGTTTGTGACTACTCTGAAAGAAGTTCAATTCAATTTTATTTGTATAGCGCCAATTCATAACAGAAGTTATCTCAGGACACTCTTCAAATAGAGTAGGTCTAGACCGAACGCTTTAAAACATTATTTACAGAGACCCAACAGTACCACCATGAGCAAGCACTTGGCGACAAGGGCAAGGAAAAACTGCCTGTTAAAAGGCAGAAACCTAGGACAGATCCTTCGGCTCTAGGTGGGTGGTCGTCTGTCTCGACCAGTTGGGGTGAGTAAGGAGACAAACTATTTCTCTCAGATGTTGCTATATATTCTCTTGTATCTTCTCTCTTTAGTAACTTCTCATTCAACTCATTTTCAAGTTAACACCCTGTAAGGGAGCAGGATGCCAATTTGAAACCACTATGGTCATATAATGTTCCCTGCATAAAAGGTAACACAAAATTGAGCTCACTTGTCGCCAAAGGCACGCCTCCAGAACTCTGCAGCATCTGCCTTGGTGATGCGGAAGTTGTCACCCTGAAACAGACCATTGGGGAAGATGGCCTTCAGCTCAGCCAGCATGTGGCTGAAGATCAGTGACAGCTTGGTGAGGTTACGCCTGTGGAAGTCAAGAGCAGAAGGGAGGGAGTGAGAGTTCACATCTTTATCATTGCACTGTGGCAGTTTCAAGAGAAAAATGTACCTTAATACCAGAAATGAACCTTTCATATGTTAATCTTGAACCAGATGGCAGAGAATATACTGTGTGTATTACTGAGGAGTGCATCAATCCTGATCATGTTTAACAAAGTCACCTGCAAAGCAGTAGCATTATTTATATATTATAAAGTGTCACTAAATACAACAGCATATTGTGCATATTGCATTCTTTTGCCAACAATAATGATTAATTCATAATTGATTATTATGTTCCAAATTTGTGCCATATGAGAGATGATGAGTTCTGCTAACATTTGTTAGATCACGTGATGATAAGGAAGAAAAAATGTTTTTTCTTGTAGATGACATACTGAAAAAAATAAAGTGAAATATTCAAATGCGCATGACATTTTCTCAGTCAACTATAAATAACGTAGCGTTTTTGTTGGCTTAGCCATCTGTGGCAATGCAAAAAAATGCAGTGATGCGATGTGGCTGACAAATCTGCTGATATCAACTTCCTAAAAATGCTTGCATGCAAACATGTATTACATGCTATTGGATTAGACTTTTCCCCTTACTTTCACACTCGCTTTCAAAATAAATAAAGTAAAGCAGGAAATCTAGTTGTGTCCGGTTGTCAACTAGCTTGTAATCTGTTGACCAAAGCTTAACTGTAGGCAGTCACTGGCCATAAACATGAAAAATGATGAGTGGTGGTTGCAGATATTATTGATCTTCTGGATGGTATGATCCTAGACTTGTGAAGAATTTTCAACATGCAAGGGATTGAGTTTCACACTTTTTATACTGGACACATTTAGTTCTGACACACATGTGAGGAGGCAACGTGCTTAGCCTTACCCCATTCCATATGAATAAACAGGCTATAGTTTCTAAATTATGCAGTAAGACGGGTAGTAGTTGACAGAAGTGGCTTGACGTATCATGGTAGGAGGACATTTTACTCAAGGTCAAGTTTCTGCTTGGCGTTTACTCCCGCTGAGAATTGTCCTTAGCTGCTTCCATAATACAGAAATAGCTACAGGTCCAGGGAGACAACACAGCAGTGTTCCCAGAGACACACATACGATCACATACGAGTGACTTGGGATGAACTTCCTTGTATACAGCTCTGATTCCAGTTGCAAAAAGCTGGTCAACGAGCAAACAGGAGAGGACAGGACTTGAGAGTGGGAGAAAAAAAAGAAATATGAAGAGAAGAGTATAATTGAGGAAGCCAAAAGTGAGTGGGGAGGGTACAAAAAACAAGAAGAAAGAAGCCGCACAGTGTCACCATACCCCTGCACCCCATCACAGCATTAGAAGTGTTATGCTGAGAAAGCCATGATTTACGAGGCAGCACAGAGGGAGATTGTGCTTGGCTGTCGGGCAGGGTGAATTGACATGCACAAGAGAGACAGCAATGAAAGCGTGGCTACACTGCAGCTGCCCCACACTACACTACGCACCCTATAAGTGGAGAGAGAGGGGGGAGTGGAAAGAGTGAATGAGGAAGGAGGACAGTCACTGAAGATGGATGAATAAGATTAGTGTACGTTGAGAACCTGCCAAAATAGACCAGCGCTTGTTAGGATGATAGTTTACCTCAGATGGGAGAAGGCAAGAATCTGAAAGAGAAAATGCAACGCTCGCAAACTGCAATAAAGCGTTGTATTTATAGCCTCTCAGCAGTAAATGATCCTCAAACAGCGAACACTCTTGTAGCTGGATGTCTAATCTGTTGAACTGCTCTGCCCACTTAAAATCTACAGCAGAGTTGAAGCCAGATGCACGTCTGTATGTCTTTGAAGTCAGGGCTACCCCTCATCAGTGATGCAATGTGGAAAATGAGACCTTCAACTACTCTCATTCCCCTGAGGAGCTCATCACCATCGGGAAACTTCTTCCCTTTCCAGTGCCATCTCAGGGAAGGCAGGCGTCTCTGACACTGCATCGTGTGTTTTTTTCCAGCAGCTATCACCTCAACAGGTGGTCCTCCTCTGTTTCTTCTGCTTCCTAGCCCTACTGGCCTACTGAGCCTTAAAGCTGCAGTCTCATTTATTCTCCTGTCAGCCTCTCTCTGCCCTGTGCTTTTATCCACGTTACCACGACCCCCCTCCTGTTCAACTTTCATCTACAACGTAATCATATGAAGACAGTTATCCTCTCTCTCTAGTTTATGCGTGGAATTAATCTCTCCTCACTGAAAGCTTTCATTTCCACATCTAGGTTAGTTTACCGTCTTATGAATCCACTTATCCACTCCCCTCATCTCTGAACTTGAAACATTCATGGAGGCTACTTAAGAATTCAAGCTTATAAAGTCCTCTCTTCAAACCCACCATTAAATTTCATTTCTAATTCACCAGCAAATGTTACTAATACGTCTGAAGATTCTCACTTGGGGTGACAGTTTCTATAGGCTAAATATTCACTGAAATTTTGTGATATGAAGGGGCTAAAGCATGGCTGGATTTTACGTGTATTCAACTGATCAAAGGGAACTTAATTCAGGTCTGTCTAAAAATGTCTATGGACAACATTCAGTAAGCTGTAGCGTTGTTTGTAAGAACAAGAAGCAACCACTTCCACCCAATTCAGCCAATCCAACCGTGATCTAAAGACGAGTTCAGAGAAATTTTGCAAAAAAGGCAACCAGACAGGTATCATTTCTAGGCAGGCCAAAGTGAGGTGAAGTTGAGCTCAAATTTGTGCTTATCTCAAGCTGTACGACTGCTTTAATGTACAGATTCAAGGTCAGTACGTATGAGTATTAAGGCAGGCCTGATTAAGAGAGGAAAACACAGAAATATCTTTAGGAGGAAGTTGTGTTCCTGTAAGACCCCAGAAGCTGACTGACAAGATAGAAAGCAAGAAAATAAAAACCACAGTGATAAACCTGTGAAGTTTGACACATGCAGCAGGAACTGTTTAGGCAAAAGACAGTCAAACTACCATCCCTGCAAAAGCACAGGAAATTTCATATGAAGTGGCATACGCAATTTCTCAGTAAAAAAAAGTCCCCAAACGTGACAGCGCACTTTTCTACACATAATGCTGTACACACACACACACACACACACACACACACACACACACACACACACACACACACACACACACACACACACACACACACACACACACACACACACACACACACACACACACACACACACACACACACACACACACAGTGAGCGTGCATTGTAACAGCCATCCTCCATATCGTACATGATGACCCTAGAGACAGAAAAAAAATGAATGTGACAGCGAGTACTGGTCTGACTGGCATCAAGCTCACAGGGTGGCACAGCTGTCTCTGGCACGAGATGTGCACAGTGAATGAGACTTTGTTGTGTCTTTGTGTTTGGACGATAGAGCAAGCTTTAGCTTTCAAAAAGGCAAGCTGAATATCATTTTGAAACTAAAAGACACAGGTTCAAATCTAATCTCAAACGTGGCAGGACAAGCTTTAGCTGATATCTGTTTTAGCATGTGTTCATCTATGCGTGTGTGTCCCTCTCCATCCTACAATACCAGCTCTGTACAATGTGTGTGTGTCTGTGTGTGTGTGTGTACTGGGAAATAGACAATGCAGAGTCAGTGGGATTCAGATGTACGTAGAGAATGGTTTGCTGACCTACTCTGTCTGGGGTGTCATCAGCTATAGTATTTTCTTTTTCCGTCTCTCACTCATTCTTAACAACGGCACCAAGCCAAACCTTTTCTGAACACTAGGTTTTTGTCCACCATCCCCCTCATGCTATAGATTGACCTCCGACCCTGCAGCTGGCTGCTCCCTTCCTGTTTCCTGCTGGCTGTGATAAAGTAGCGCAGCTAGCCAGCCAGCACCGCACTGCGCTAATACACCACAGCACAGCCAGCAAGGGTCAACCTTACAGAATGAAAGCCTGTCTGGATTGGCAAGAGTCACAAGTAGCTGTAATATCATCATGCAGCTGTATTATCTTTTCTGCTCAAGGCTAAAAGGGAAATGCACATCAAACACAAACTGAGCCCTGCAACAAAGCTATAGGACTATAGAATGAAGTAAGCTAGATCAGGACTAAGTACCTTGAGGAAAAGATTTTTCCAAAGTAGCTGAATTAATTGCAATAAATTGCATAACAGGTCTGCACAACACTGCTTTAACTCCTTTGGGGAAACATGAATCGCGTAACTAACTGGGCATTTACTACAGGTAACATAAAGATACCTTCAACACGTCAGCACAGTAAGCGTCACTTATTATGATGCCGTTCCAGTCATATGCAAAGCACTGACACTGTGTCTGCGATCACAGTTTCTCATGAAAAGCGACAGCACATTTGTTGTTAGTTTACATCGTGACACATATGCAAAGGGAAACGGAGCACTTCTTCATAGGGTCAGGGTTAATATTTTAAAAAGTGGTGAATGCTTACACAGAAAATATACACAGAAATTAAAAATAAATGAAGTTGTTGGACTGGGAAACACAGTGGATTATGTGTTTGCAATTCTGGCTTACCATTTTGCTCTAGTCATCACTTTATAAATTTAACTCTCCAGAACTGGCTTCACTCCAGATCTCCATCAGGAAACAGCCATGACAGCACACAACACATGCACACATACACACTACACAGCGCTTAAGCAATGATCCAAACGTGCTTAACTGCATACCTGCACACCTGCACAAACTCCTGAATAATAACACCTATATAAAGAAACAGCTTTGTACCTGTGACTAAATGTGACTTTTTATTTTAATGCAATCTCTCTTCTAAAGCTCTTATCACTGTAGTCAATTAGACAGGCTTTATAGATTATTGTGAAGGGGCAAATAAAGATAAAAAAAAAACAACAACACAACACTGCACTGTTTGAGCTTTATCCCCCTCTACTCTATTCAAATAACCGTATCTTAATGCAAATCTGAGCTAATTTATCTCTATGTGCATAAACAGCAAG